TCATTCAGAGGTTTTCGGAACGATCCAACAAACGTTTCAGTCTCGTTATTATTGTTGGTAAGTACAAACGAATGTATGACCAAGGGTAGTCTTGGAGTGAAGGTTTGTTACTATATTGGTTTTAAGTACCAGATATTATCTATTTGGGTTTGGTTTGCTCCATGTTCTGGTTCTGGTCATGTTGCGGGTTTTCAAAATGTTGTTTTTCTTGTTTTGATAGCTAAGCTATAGAACTTTGTATGTGCCTGGAAATTGTTGTTGACATAACGCTTCAAAAACATTCAAAAGCAAGTAAGCAATGCTTTTGTGTAAAACGCTTTAATGCCACATCGAAGGAAAACTGCACTAGAGAAGAAGAAAAAATCAAGCGCATCATCTGAAGCGTTATTTCCTTCAGATCTAAAGCTGTCAAAAACAAGACGGGACATTTATTAGCAAAAATTATTCATTGCAAATTGGAAATGCCCTACAACCACTATCGAGCCGATAGAAAAAAAAATACATGAGCGGTGAAAAAAACACTACTCTCCATGAGAAATAATATGCTTGCATCGAAAGTTCAAAACACATAGGCCATAACAACAGTTTATAGTCTGCATGAAGTAACAAACACATTTAAAATCCTACGCTTGATCGAGTGCTGGTGAATTGCCAGTTTAGAGCGATGGCGAAACTTCGCATAGAAGAGCAAAAGGAAAGACCAAAAGGAGACAGAAGCTCTTCAGAGAAGTTCATGCTTATGAGGAGCACACCTAAACCTCCCTTCTTTACAATCGAAAACTGAAATTCTAGATTCTCCGAATGACTCGAAAGTTAAGTTATTATCTACTATAAAGAGTGTAAAACGACAACGTTATAGTGCACGACCTTAATGATATAAATGCATATATCAAAACGATCTAAAAGACTTTAGTAAATTTGAAAGAGTGGCAAGAATGTGAGAGTTCCAGTGATTCATATTTCTTCTTCAGACCCCGGAAAAACTACTTTAACTATTACCATGTCCATTATAAAGAATGTAAAAAAATACATGTATAACAACAACAACAACGTTAGAGTGCATGGCTTTCATGATTGAAATGTACTTTAAAAAAATGATGTAAAAGGCTGTAGTAAATTTGAAAGAGTGACAGGAGCGTGGGGGTTGCAATAACTCATTTCCTTTTTTCAAAAGTACAAACGGAGATCTATGTGACTCCGGAAAAAAACATAAACATAAATAGCGGTTTATTGTTTCTCTTGCCCCAAATCATTCGACGATTTAAGCTAGAGTTATTAAAGAGAAAGATAATTCACCGAAAATGTAAAAATTTCTAAAAAAAAGAGGTTTAAGTGAAATGCATTTAGAACTTCTAAACTGAATGGCCAATTTAAAACTTAATAACAGAGTCCTGAATTTTGCATTTAGTTAACATAACCTCTTTGCTTGAGCAGACAACCTCTCAGCTGATAAGGCTGTGTACTTTCAGTCAACTCTGACAGAAATAGGTGATATAGTAATACGAAAGCAATGATAACTTTCTTACCTAAGGTAGGCAATCTATACTTTTAACAATAATGCGCTCACAATTCGATAATGAAGACTACTATAGGAAAAAAAAACAAACAATCAGCATACTCATTCCATGATGTGGTCTACGGTATATCAGCTTTTCAAATATATTCTCTTTGTACATTATCCAAAACACTACGAAAAGACACCACCAAATTGCATTAATAAACACGAGACTAGCTTTATACTGAGAACACCGCAACTGAAAGGGTTGAAGGTTCGCCTTATCGCGATCAACAGTGCTAGATAAAACGTAACGAACTTAGCACCTTGTGCCCTTGACTACTTTGCTCCACTGTACGCAGTTGCACTATCATACAAAAATTACTACAGTTCGTTCTTTATAAGGTGTTATTGGGGTTTCGACCAAACAAATGAGTATTTTCAAAAACATTGTTGCAACAAAGTTACGATCTACAGTGACACTTTGCCAAAACTTCTTTAACATGAGTGACAAATTTCCTTGAATAGCCGTAGTGCTATTAATTTTAACAAAAAGTGCATCAAGCCAGCCCAACTTGAATACTGTTAGATAAGTTTATCTATAAAAGTAAATACCGGTAACTTTAAAACTGACCACACATCTTGCACTACGAGACCAAGCCGTTCATGGTTACATATTTAAATAACTAACTCATAAACTTACGATTATATTAGTGCGGTCCACCATCAAAGGCCTTGGCAAAGATCTGAGAGAAGTCTGGAGAAAAATATCTGCTCCTTTTTGGTGCTTGTTAACTACGTGGTTTGTTCCATAAACACTTTGTCGGTAATTATCACAAGGTTATCCACAAAGTTATGGAAACTGCCTCCTGCGAAGTTTCCATTGTGCTAGCGTATAAAAGCGGTATTTGAACAAGGACATACGGTATGCTTTCGCAACGTAATGCAACGCAATTACTATTTTATGAACTATTCATTGTTTGCTAAATAGGATGTGAAATGGGGCAAGCCATGGCTAAATTGCAAACTCCTGATCAATTTTAAGGCTATCGTTTAGTGAAGCTTTCAGTAACCACAGTAATCTAGAAGCATCCTTGTGAAGGATTAGTGGTAATGGCCCGATCATTGTCTTTCATTGTGTAACTTTGTGCTTTTGGGTTTAATTTATGACTGACAAAGCACTAATGAATGACTTTAATGGGGGCGGATACATTTTACGGCCAACGATGTGGTATTAAATTAATCTATTATGAGCTTTTGCTAAGTGCTGCATTGGAGATCATTGGTGCGAAAAGACAATCAGAAGTTTAATACTGCGGACGTCTTGTTTATCTACAACACAGTTAGATTCTTGAGCGAGGGTTTAGTCATAGATCATCGCCACAAATCCGCCGTCAGGCTTACCGAGGTAGACTCATTTTTATAATTATAGCAAGACAACCTTTCCCCTCTTAACATGTGCCAACTGGTAAACGAAATATTCGTAAGTCGTATCAGAACAGCCAGTTAATGATTGTGGCAGTTAACTTGCATTTTAGGAACTAAAATGCATTTACTGGACCAAAATTCCGATTCCTAAATTTTTTGGACTTAATAAATCCTCAGAAAAGGTTTTGAAATCCTCTCTTACACTGATCACGATAATATTCCTGTTGGTTGTGTTCCCACAGTACTGCACTGAAATTTCGTCCCAGTCATAGTGTTATGCCACTGACACCGTGTTGTTCGTAACATTTTTGTTTTAATGTTGTTGTCACTCTATTGTTTTTGTTCATGGTATTGTATATTTATTTTTAAATTTGTCTACCAAGAAAAAAAAAATAAACCTCCAATTTAGTCTAGTAAAGAAGAAACTAATATAACTCTTTTACGTGTTATTGCTGTTATTTATTTCGACAAAAATATTTCACAGTCAATTACACATTGAAATTTTATGAATGTAAATTTAGTGAATTCATTGGGCATGATTGGATTTTCCTTATTTTTAACCGACCTTAAGCCAAAGAACTTGAAAACGAGAAGATATTTGGATTAATTCACTAAGCCTTGAACTGCATCATCTTTATTTTTTTAGTTATAAATTCATGTTCTGGTGACTTTCGCAAGCGATTTAAACGTGAAAATTAATTATCATAATATCGGAACCCTACCAGACTTAGTATGCCAGGTACTTTGTTTGTATATAGCATTCTGCCACGGTTATGTACCCGAAATCAAAGTTGAAATTAAGTAGGATATCATAACTCTCATCAGTGCAAAAAGTACAAAAAAGCCACCTTCGTTCTCATTTCATCGCTATCAATGTAAACAATATTTCTTAGAGCTTTGCCCCAGTGGTTCATTTGATGAACGTGACAATTTCGCGTTATAAAACAGAGTCATTTCTGAAATTTCACTTTATAAGATGCATCACATCTATTTTTTCGTAACATAACTCTGTTGCTACGCTCAAAGCAATCAACAAAGTTACAAAAACCTTAATAAACTGATAGACTGGCGGAACAAGACAACATATACACATAATCAATTAAAAAATCATCAGTCATGCAATTACTTTGTAATTAGACTGTATATATTTCAAAGTGGTAATGTTCAAAGAAATATATGCATAAGTCTTCAGATGAAAATTTGCTTTCATACGCGAAGTGTTATCACAATTTCGAGAAAGAAATGGCGAGTTAAATTGCCGCAAAAAAATGAAAAACCCCAACAATTAATTCCTCAATTTGTTATCATTTATTCAGCAGAATAAAGCATGTTTAGCAGCTCAAAAAACAAACTAAATTTAGGTCATGAAATTACTATCTGGATTTTTTTCATTCCTATTAACAGTCTAGATAATTTCAGGTCAGTTTCAGGATTATATACTACTCGGCAACAAAAGGTGTTTACAAATTTTTGCACGAAATTTGCACAGAGATCCCTAAGAATTTTTCCTCCTGATTTTTTTTTCTAAAAATCGCAGAACTGATTTTCATTTTCGTTTTCATTTTCTCGCATGCTTCCTTGGCTATTAGGATGTTACCGGCTTTTCTCATCTGTTTTCCTTTTGCTGGTTCTAATTGGTTTTTTAATCAGTTTTCGGTAAATCTTTCATGCAAATAGTACCAGGACACAGATGGGTCGAAGAGTGTTGGGGGATTGTTTTCATTATAATGGTAATAACGATAACGTTCTGGTGTATTTTTCCTTTTTCTCAGCTTATTGCAACATGAATATATGGTAATCCCCTTCAAAGTGATGAATAATTCGGCCGCACTTTGCCGTAAACCATCTTGTTATTAAGACAAAGCAGATGCCACTTGACTCAAAGTAAATTAGTGTTTTCATTGTTTTTGAAAGCAATTAAGTCCGTTTCAATAACGGTATATTTATGGATGCTTTCTGAAGATTTCATATTCCTATGGGGAATTAAAAACTATTCATCAAGGCACCAATTCACACTCTGACTAACAGTTATCCAACCAGGTTCAACACTGAGACAATTTTATCCTTCTTCTCTTAGAATGTGCGTCCAGTCGTTAAAAGGAGTTCTTGAAAAAGAACACCAGTTCCTTGGGGAGTTATTGTAGGATACCAAAGGTAAGAATTCCTCAAACATAACCAGTTTTCATTCATTTTATTTTGGCTTCCTTTGAGGGTAAAGGGGCCGGATTTTACGATAATTTTGTTGACTGGCGTTACGACAAAACCTTATTTAATAAGGGTCCCGGTAAAATGAGTGTTACGCTAACCGTGATAGAAAGGAGCACGGAGAAGGTCCCCATAGCATGAACCCTGAATCCGGGTCAAGTAAGGCGTTTGTTTGTAAACACTGTGTAGAACTAGTTGTGTTTCATTATTAGTTTTATATCACTTATGCTAAAAAAGTCGTTCGACGAACAATATTCCATTCATTGATACAACCAATTTTACACTTTCAAAGTCAAACAAATACCAACTGCATTATGTGCTATACATTTTTATGGGCATTGCGATATTCGGTCCAACAAGAAAGAGTGACTAAATTTGGGACCTATTTAATCCTCAGTAATGCTCCTTGGAGCTCTTCTGTCGTAACAGTGAGCGACGGAAAAGGTACCCAACAAACCTTTACCTAAATTAAACTGTTTTCGATATCACCTTGGTTACAACTGGCAAAAAAAACGATACTATTGAAACGACAGTGTCGAAACTTATTCATTTAATTTCTAGACATAATGAAAATAATAAGCGCCCTTATCTCAGAGAGGATAAATTTTGAGATTGTTATTTGAGAATCATTGCTGCCTTTTTTCCGAAAAAAGAATCACCGTACAGTTCTAGACTAGGGAGGGTAAATAGATTTTTAAATCAATTTTTCGTGAGGTGAGTTTTCATGATGCTCTCTTAATGTACCAATTGTTGATATAAGAGGGAAAAAAGCTCACCAAACTCAATAATTTTTTTTGCTCAAATTTATGGAATGTAAAGACAACCATTGGTTAAAATTTAATTGAAGTAGCCAGTGATACGTTTTGGTGTATTCTTATTTCGCTTTCTCTCCTGTAAACTATTGTGTATGAAAAATGTTAGCGGAGAGTAATTGCAGTAGGTTACAGTCCTTCTAGTGTAGCAAATCGAATCTCGTTCAACCTTGCATGTTCTCTGGCATCATTTTCACAGTTACGTTTCTGTTCGACACTTATAATTGCGATGATTATTCTGCAGTTTGGATAACTGATCTCTAATTATTCCTTTTGATTTAGTTGTATGATGTTAGCGTTAAAGATAAAGATTGAAAACTGGAAAACTGCATGCAATAAGGTTTTGGTACCTGAATCGATAATGTCAATTCTTACAAGTTTACTCTCAAAAAAGGGGGCTTGCCAAAATTGTAAGGTTATGTGGTATAATTTATTAGACGCTGGCAAAATAATCTCTTTGGATGTCAGTTCAAAAGCTAACAAAATATTTGTCTGCTTCTATTAATTCCTCTCACGTTTTCCTTTGAGCCAGCGCCCTTCGGTAATTGACCGTCGGGTGTTAATCAGCCGAATTAATGGTATAACGTGGCAGTTCAGTGACCTTGCAAGGTTTATTTTGCAAACGTTTCAAAATTCCAAACAAAGTCGCCAGACCGACTGGAAACCATCCTTTGATCAATATCAAACGTGGCTTATTAATAAGTAAATCTTAAAAATGTGGTTAAAAATAACCTGCAAAACACGTGTTCATGCCAAAACGCGGTGACCTGATTTAAGTGCTATTATAGTGCCTAAACTGAACAATGGAAATGCATCTAAGCTTAATGTGGTCAAGACTAAAAGGACAAATACGTTCTGGACCTAAATACGTCAAACTATAATGGAATATTAGGGTTTTTGCTCAGCACATGAACACCATTAGGAAGGTAAGGGGAACAAGATAAGAATTAACCATTGTCATGATTTGAAGCGAGCCACCATCGGTATGCCTAGGTCCTGTACGTGATATTCACTCTCGTCTGCAAGTCACATTTTTCTGGGTTCGTGAAAGATTGAAATCAACATTTTGTTCAAGTTTTATTTCGTTTTTACCTTGAAGCATAAAATCACCCATCTTTCTTCGCTATACCCCAAATAGTTAAGCTTTAATTTTCTATCGTAGAGGTCTACAAATTGATAGCTTATCTCAAGTGCAAAGTGTCTCACATTGTGACAAACGCAATAGTAGATGATTCGAAGTTATCTGCCTCACAGGTGTTCTCGCCTAATTTATCTCTTTATCTTTACAATTTATGGATCAAAATCGGCACACACCATCGGTAAGAACATTCTGACTGTATCAGCTACACGCTCTCCTAACGTTCGTGTTATGTTCTTTGCTCAATTGAAGAGCTGAGACGGTTATTTACAATAATAAGGTCATCTGAAACAGAAATTTATTAGCATGAGTCATATTAAGGACCGGTTAAACCTTATAGACGAAAAGTCTGAAAAAATGCGACTTGAACAACAATATTTATCCAGCTTCCGATTCAGTGATTCAATATGACCTTGTTGTTGACTGGCATTCTCAAGTTTTCAGCAATTCTTAGTGACCTTGAGTCCATTCAGAGAAGATCAACAAAATAAAAATAAGTCTTGCCAGAAGCCATGCCGTTAAAGATTAAATTTCATATGTTCATTTCGTTGCCGGATGTCAATTTCACGCTTGTCAACTTGTCCACACAAAGTTAAATCAACAGAAGAACTTCACTTTAGTAAATATAAGGGACCAAAATTCTGATTTTTTTTACTGTGTGTTTCTCTCACCATCTAAAAGTTCTGAATAGCTACTGTTTTTGCTTACACAAACTTCACTGATGTGGAAGATACATTTGTAGCCTGCTTTTCGATCAGAATATAGCTTTTCGTGACTCAGTCATTGATTTGTACGTGATTTAAAGCCTACACTTGTAGTTTCTTTTTTTAGGGTTTCAGGTTAATCGAGTTGAACTCACGTTTATGCTGAACTAATCCTTTTGAGTGGCAACAAGATTTAAAAAAAGGCCCCCAGAGTGAAGTTTTTACAAGGGAACGTAAATTTAAAAATTGGTAACGTTCCTCCTTAGAAACAATATATAGCCAAAAAAAACTACAATATAAAGCCACTCAAAGAAGCACACCTGTCGTTGCGTGACGCGTACGTACGTCACAGGGGGCGGCGGAAATGACCCGCATCAAGTGACGCACGTAAGGATTGATAAAAAAAGGACCACGGTTGTTTGAAAACACAAGCTTTAAGCCGATAAGTCAAGATTAAGGATTAACAAAATTGGCTCGTCCGAGTTTCGAGAAGGTCCTCAATTTTAAAGAAACAAAAAACACTGGTCAAGCAACGGTTTACATCTCGGCACCAAGCTTGATAAACAAGGAAAATCGCCGTCTGGGAGAGAGATGTTTCTCACGTGAATTTTGGTAAGTTTTTTCCTTGTTTCACTCAAGCCTGGCCCTAATTTGTTACTGTCGAGAGAAGTTAAAAGGCTTAAAACGAATAGCAACGAAAATCAAATTATAACGGTTTTCAGCGGCGAGTTTATTTGAACTGAAAGAATTGTTTTGAGAACTGGTTAAAGAGAAACTCTCAACCTTGTTTACACAGGGTTTAATTTCGTATGCGATATTAGTTGTAAATTCAAATTATGTCAAATATGACTCATGTTGTAAAATTCTGTTTTAACGGTTAATTGCAGAAGTGTTTGTCAAATATCAGTGTATTCGTTACTGGTGTTGAGCTTTAGTTGTGTTTCTTTGAACGATCAAGTGGAAGTACAATACTTTCATTTAGTGCGATTGTTTTTACCTGCACATTTTTATCGAAATTAATTCTTCTATTTCTGCCATTTTGCGAAGAAAAACAAAGATAAAGCTAATTATTTAAAATAAATTATTCTTTCAATTTCCCTCCATGTGGTTTACAATTCATACCACAGACGTAACCGAAGCACTGTTTTTACCTCAATTGCTGCTTCGCTTTCTTGCGCGGGAGTTCCTAACCGGAACCGGAAACAGAAAACGGTCACACACACACGAAACCACGAAATCATCCATTACCTTTCCACTGTAACAACGTATTATTGTAAGGATATCAAAGCAATATAGCTTTCGCTACGATAATAATCCATGAGCAATTCACAACTTTCGTCGGTATTCAATTATATTTACAGATGTTTTTCCCCCCTTCGATCGGCAAATGCCCACGAAAAAGATGCATGACAACAAAACCGATCGCGTGACATAACATCAAAACCTGATTGAATCGACCGTCATCAGTACCCACTAGGGAAACTTTGAGCGAAACACGTTCTTTTCGTTTGCTAAAAACATTTTGTAGTATTGATTGGCATTCGAAGCGGCTCCATTTTAAAAGCAAAAGTTATTTCCATCAGTTTCTCATTTAAATTTTCTCGTGTGCAATATTCGTTATGGATGAATGCAAGGCATCCATGTTTTTAATTTCTCAATTCAAAACGTTTGAAGACCATTGATTTGATTCAAAAGAACATAACACATTCAACCTTTATTTTAATTTTTTGAAGTAACAGTTTCTTTTAGTGAGAGCCGAACATGGATGAAAGAGTGAACAAAAGATCCGGCTTAAATCTGAGCTGTTTCTGGACACCTCTAGATTCCACCCCCTCTGTCACGTATCCACCGTTCATGCTCCCTTAAAATGTTTCCATGTCATCGCTCAACTCACGCAATGTCGTAGACTACGAGTGACGTTTGCATTCCAAGGATAGTTTGTCATGTCAAATGCCTAAAAGATATTAGCTTAGGAAGGTTTATAAAGTTCAATATGAAGTACACAATTAGCTTGCGTCGCTTTTTAAAAGCTCTGCACATGGCTACTATCGGTAAAAAGTTTGTACAAGCCCAGATACAAGACCTTGTTCATATATTTTTGTGTCATTAAATTGCTACTGTAAACAGTATCCAAAACATTTTCCTTATAGTACTTCTCCAAAAGATATTAAACCAACTTTCGAGGAAAAAATTTGAAAGATAAAGAACAGCTGGTTACTACTGTAAAAGTCTTCAATTGAGATTAAATGTACCTCTCTAATCATAAAATGACCTTTGTCAAGAAACACTGTTTAA